ATTGGAATAATACAACTAGACTTCCTATGATTCTTTCCTTGGTACTCCTCTGAACTTTACTATCAGAGAAGTGCAACAACCACAAATTTCACTAAGTGGGAAGAAGAATAACCCCTTAAAGTTTGAACTGGTTCCCAAAGAGAGATTGGTTGTATCAACTCAAGGTAACAGTTAGAGAAAATTAGAATGAATTGTTACAGCTAGAGAACTGCAGATATGTATAGAAAAGAAATGGACATAAATGTCGGCCAAATTCTTCCAGCGTTGTACTGCCTTTTGTTATTAAGGGTAAATATGATGTTCTACTCAGACATTTCTGTTATATTTACCCATTTTTGAAGGATCCACTTATTCTAGTCCCCAACCTGACAGTTCTTGTGTCATGGTTTCAGAGAATTACTTATAGAAGAGATTTTTTTTTTCATTCCCTTAATCATCTTAGTGGTCTCCATCTTTGTTGGATTCTCATTAGTAGCTCTGTATCTCTGTTGTACAGGGCAGCCCAGAACCAGATTCAGCACTTCAGGTGTGGCCTCCTCAGTGCTGAGCAGAGCATTAGGATCACCTCCTTTTACTTGCTGGCCACATTCTAATGTACACTCTAATGCAGCTGTCCCTAATGCTGCACAGGACACCACTACCTGTCTGAATACAAGGGTGGAGCAGGCTCATATTCAATTTCAAGTCTACTGGGAACTTCAGGTTCTTTTCTGTAGAGTTGCTTTCCAGCTGGGTGACCTCCAGCATGTACTGGAGCATGGGGATATTCCCAGGTGCAAGACTTTGCACTTCTCTGTATTGAACAGCATGAGTTTCCTTTTAGTCCATTTGTCCAGACAGTCAAGGTTCCATTGGACAACAGCACAACCCTCTGGTGTATTAACCACTCCTTCCAGTTTTGACCTCCGCAGTGGGGTATGCCATGCCCCAAAATCCAGGTGAAGATGATTAACTTCACCTAGGAAGGTGAATAGGATAGGACAGAGCTTTGTTCTCTTGGATACACCACTAGTTACCTGCCTCCAGGTAGACTTTGAGCCAGTAATCAAAGCACTCTGAGCTTGACTGTTCGGCCAGTTTTAAATCCACATCACTATTACTTTTTGTCTTAGCACTTTTTACTAAAAAAAGGGCATCTCTAAAGAGAGTTTGGTGTCTTGCTCCACATCCAGAGCAATCCACAGCATATCTCACCTCCTTCCTCTCAGCATGTGCCTGGGCGTAAGGCTAAACACCAGCAGTTTCTCTTGATGCCCTATCTTTCTTTTCTGTCTATCTGTGACTCCCCTTGTACAAACCTAGAGGAGACTGTGCAACTCATAGTTATGATGTTGTCAGGATTGCCAAGGACAAAAAAAAAGCTGAAAACACGTCCACAAAAGCAACACTACACATCAAGACAGTTACTTGTCATATGATAGCTACAATAGCTGTTCTACCTCCCTGACGTTCATGTTATCAGCAATACTTTTCTTTAAAAATGACAAAACAAACCTTAACTCTGGTTTTTCATTCTTTTCCATCTCAGTATCAGTAACTGTGGTAATGCTGTTATTGACATGTGATTAAAAAATGTAAGGTGTATATGTGGAATGCTGGTAAAAGCTTCACTTGGATATGAGCTTCTGCAGGCAGGTACGCAACTGTGAAAGAATCCATTGCGCTTCACAGCAGCTACTCCCTGCGCAACTATTGTTCGGGATTTTTCTTTTAAATTGTCTTGTGAGAGAAACAAGATGACTGGACCTTTGGCAGATAGGAGAGCTACAAACATACTCACTGCTAGGCAAGGAACACAATACACTTCTGAGTATGCACAAAGATTCTTTGCCTTTAAAAGCTAAACTTCAGTCTTGTCCTGGATTTCTGCTGTCTTCAGCCACTAATTGGTCTTGACTAAGAACACCAGTGCTGAGTATTCTTCATTATCAGAACCTGTTAAGATCCTTACCTTGCCCCAAAATGATTTCTGACAAAAGCTTTCTGCTTCCTGCAAAGTACTGACTCAAATACAAGGCTGCTACTATGAACAGAGTTAATAACAGTAGAAAAAAAGACAACAAACCTTAGCTGCATCCCAAGCAGAAACACAATAAATATCAAACAAGACAATGATTGAAAAAAAAATTAATTCCACCAAACAAAATCTAGTGAAATGACTGCAAAATATTAAAAACAACTCGAATTTTATTGCAGACGTTTAAATACTATTGTAGACAAGGAACGCAGGCTTGCAGATCAGGATGAATTTAACCAGAAAATTGCCTACAAAGGACCTGCTCTTGCTCCCAAAGATATCAACAGCATTTTACAGTAGATTTCAAGGAAAAACAAATTTGAACCATTGAATTGTGACTATGTTTTTACTAAAGTATGTATCTCAAAAAACAATAAAGGACAAAAACCCCACCACCTTTTAGGTGTTTTCCTGTGGAGGATGTGTCTCAGGGTTGGAGCAGTCTTCATTATGTACATTTGTAATCTTTTAAAACTAATTATCCCCTGGGGTTAATAATAACCTATATAAAGTAAAATAATATGGCTCAAAACCAGTTTATTGTTTAGGTTTTGAAGAAATGTAAAGTTAAATAGTCAGAAATGCCATGCAAAATTATGTGTCCTACTAACTTCAGAAAATGTAGCCACTCCCAGTCATCAATTCATGCTGAAAATGTACAAAAGGTGCCAATATTAGATTTTATTTTTACTCTTTTGTGTGGCATTTTTCAAATAAAAGCACAATAACATTATTAAAAATTATGTAACTCTTATATAATTAGTTAGTGTCACCTATATTACATTTCTTATGTCTCAATATATTTTGGAACGTTTATTGAGGAATATTAGTTAAATAATTTTAAATTATATTATTACTGGAATTTTAGACTATGTAAGCTAAGTTAAAATAATTTTTCATGCCTTTTTAAATTTTTTTTTTCTAAGTTCAAAAGGTAGAGGCAACTTTGTCTTAACAGGTGAATCCTTACATCTCTTTGTTGAGGTACAAGCAGGAATTTCATAAGCTGAGAGAGGAAAAAAAAATTGCAGTTAGAATCCCAGTCCTGGCATGGATGAGAAAAACATGTAAACCTATTGATAATATTTGAGCCAACACATCAGCATGTAGCAAAACATGAGCCTATGACTTAAACACTTTACTTTTTAAAATTTTTTTTTTTTACTTTCAGCAAATGCTTTACTACAGCCTTAAAGCTTTTAGAACATTATGCCTACTGCCATTAGCAATAGAGCCAGTCACCTGTAGGTAGAGACAAAGTAAATGGGTAGACTGCTATTACAAAAACACATTTCTTGCACAACCATGAATATGCAGTGGTAGAGAATTTCAATTATTACTTCTCTTTAAATCAGCATGTATTAAAAAAGATGTCAAAACTTATTTAGTCAAATCAGTGTAGTTAGACTTGTAATTTTTATTTCTACACATATTCTCAAAGAGTACGCAGCATGTAAAAGACCTAAATATCAATAGTTGATTTGCTAGCTTTTCAGAATAAGTGAAAGTTTCTGGTCCTGATCACTTTATAGCCTATAATAGACTGACCATACTGTAGCTGCTCCAGTAAAGAAATATAAGCACATGCTTGATAAATCTCCGGATTTCATTTTACACATTTGACAGATGGCACCTTCCACAGCACATTTCTCCCTGTTCTCTGCTAGAACGGGGGAGTACACCACCTACTGAAAAACCACAGGTCTCCCACGCAAACCCTGATACTAGAGGGACTACATACTTACACTCACATGCTTTCCTAGATGAAAACTGTGTTTTGCATGGTCATGTCATCAGAAATAAAAAATTCCTTGTACCTTCCTGAAAGGGAAGACCCTGAACTACCTACTGTCATTCTTTAGCACCTGATTCCCACATTATTTTTTTAGTATACTTTTTCATAATTCAATAGATTGAATGCCATGGAATAGATAGCTGAACTGGCTGGAGTTTGGTACTGTCAATCCATATACAGAATAATTATAAAGTGCTTTAGAATTGTTTCACATGAAAGGTGCAATTAAATACTGTGTCCTCTCATGTGCTCTCCCTGGAGACATATCCCTCAAATTATTACAGCAATGTAATAATGATACTGATTTCTTACACTGGAGAATGCTTCCTTCTCCAGTATTTATTGGGGTTAGTATCTCACTGCATCATATCCAGGCAGACCTGCTGCTTACCCTCTGTTAGCTGTCTTGCTAGATGCAAACACACTCATCTGGATGGGTAAAAAAAATACAGTGCTACGCTGGGATGACCCTCTTATAGTGCAGAACTCATGGTTGTTAGTTGATTCCTTTTGATTGCCGTTTGCCAAAAAGGTGAACCATCAGGACACTGTGCAGTATCATTTTTCATTTTGGTTAAAAGGCTCAAAAAGTCCACAGTAGAATGCTGACAGGTCTATCAGTTATCAAAATTTTCCAGGATTTGGATTATGGCATTGAAATGGCCCTGAAGATACAGTTTTTATAATGCATGGTGCAGTGCTGCATTGCTTATAATCTCCTGTTCCCATAAGATCTGAGTATAAATGGGAAGCATCTTTACTGCTGTTATGTATCAGGAATTCAAGCACCAGTAAGTGAGCAAACCATGTCAACATAGAGTCAAACCCCAAAATGACTCTATGGACCTTATTCTGTTGCAGTACACAGAACTCCCCCTAAAAACAAATAATACTATTTCTACAGAGTAATTATTTTATAAATTGGGGTGAATTCTTTTCCAACCAAAATCAAGGCAGAACTCTCCCTGGACGAAGTGTGATCTGGATTTCACATTATATTTGTAACTAAACTCAAGTAATTTGTCACACATAGCAGAAGTATGAAATAGCCTCACAGCATGCTTGATGCAGTTACAATTCTGAATGATAAAACTCAAAATTAAACATTTTGCCCTCTTCAATTTTTTTCTATACACACTATTGTGCTTCACATGACTGTCATTTTCCTTATACTGTGATTTCTGCAGCCTAGAAAGGGAAAAAAAAATAACAAAGAAAACAGAAAACAATAAATCCTATTATCCAGTTGACTGAATAAATGTAGATTATCACCATGTCCATATCAAACCTCCATCCACAGCTATCATCCTCGAAGTCCATATAGTCCATCCTGTGCGCAGCATGTGGGAAATGCCTCCTCGTTACAGTATCTGAGCATCTTTGAAAATCTGCTGAAAAACACACTAGGAGATAATTATCTTTTTAAAAGCAACCAGATTGACTAGGGAAAAAAAAAGTTAACACTCTTACCCTAGTTATGTAAAGGACAAATAGAAGCAGGAAATCTCACACCTCACTGTTAAGTTTGCTTACTTTGTTGGACTCAGAGAAGCTGTCTGTGGAATTGATTTTGTAATATTTAAAAAAGTAATTCTGTGTTCCCCAAAAAGGAACTCTGTGTTCCATGTCTAGAAAAAAGTATGTTTGTTTGTTTGTTTGTATTTGGCATTCTCTGCTATAGTGAAGTAATGCTATCTGCTCATGTTATCCAGATCTATGAACACCTCTCTTGGGTGCCTTGTTCCACTGAATTTGACTCAGTGACCTAAAAGTGGAAGGCTCCATGTACTGTAATCAATCTATTCTGTAATTAATAGTATCTACTCATCCGAATTCTTCAGTAATGAAGATACATGCAGATTTGTACATACATAGTTCAACAGTTGAAACACATTTTCCTATTTCTAGAATTTGAGAGGTTTTTTCAAAATAGTCTTCAAAGTAAATTCTGCTTGCTTTAATGTTATTTCCCTATCTGATACATAGTAGGTTAAAATTCATTTTAAAATCATTTTTGTATACTGATAACACCTTTAGACTATATAGGCAGATGCAAACATAGCTAAGTGGAAGTAAAAATCCTATGACTCCAAAAATGGCCAGAGCATGGGATCCTGCCAAAAAGTTCTTCCTCTTCCTTGCTCCCCTGAATTCTCCTGCTTCTCCTGACTTAGCAAGAGAAGTACTATAGGAACATAGCTCTTCCAGATGTCAAGACATGAGGTTAAAGAAGTGTCTGTGCAGCTGTGTTAGCAGCTTGTGGCCCAGAAAGAGCCTGGGAGCTCTACTGCAAAGCTAGAAAGTCTGATGAAGAACAAGGAGGGAATGCAGTCGTACTCTGGATTTTTGCTCTGTTTTCAGGTAACTCTCAATTCTTGTGATTCTATAATAAATTCTGACAGGAAAAATGCCTTCAAATGTCTGTATCTCCAGCTAGAGTGCAAATAAGCCATGTTTCTCCATCTGATTTTCGCCATGTGCAGATAAAAACTGAGACCTGTAAAGTTCCTCAAAACCTCTACAACAACATGGAGTAGGGGGTTGAATTATGAAACAAAAGACCTGAGGAAGTTTCAAATCACTTCTAATATATTTTTTCATTTTCAAGAAAGAAATCCTATCACACAGTATTTCAGTTTCCAAACAATACAGTCCCCAAGTAATTTCTGCACGGGCATGTATTTGTGAAAAAATATGTTTAACTTCCTTGTGCATGCCTGTGTTGCTATACTCTGAGCAAGAACTTCCACTCAAAACACATGAATATGCATGTACAGTGCCAGCAGAGTCTGGCAGACTGCTAGTGGGAATCTGTTACTAGATAACAAAAACAATGTTGTGTGCAAATCACACTTTTATATGCACCAAAGCATGCAAACAAAAAAGGATTTTCACCAGAGCATCACTAGGCACATCTGTTGGCATGTGTCCCTCCATGTGTACCTGCCAAAGTTTTTGGCAACTTCTTGTTAAGGTACTAGCAAAACACAAAATTAGACTACAAACAATTTAAAACATTGTAAAAATTGACTGACCTAATTTTTCTATTACTTAAGAGTATGAGATGGAAAATTTTACTCTAAAAAATGTGTCCAAATTAGTAATATGCAAGCTACAATAACCATTAACATTATAAGTGCTCATTTAAAATTAAATTACATATGAACAAGTCTTCTTAGGTAATCAGATACACCAAGGTGCGTCACTTTGGCACAGTCTTTTCTTTCTGATTACAAGCTTCCAAAGCAGCAGATAAGATAGAGCTATTGAAAGACTGTGAGAAAAAAATACAAGTACAGACTGACACCTTCCCATGTGTGCCCTTGCAGCAATTGGCAGCTTAGGGCCCTAGTGCTTTGGAAGCTGTTTTCAGAGCAATGTATTAAAACAGCATTGATGGGATTTTCTTTTCTTACATGTGTCTCTGCATGCTTTAGAACCAGATTTCATATTGCCTCCACTTACTGCACTTTGTGTCCCTTGGTGGAGCAAATAAATTTTCTTTTCAGGTGAAACTAAACTAGAAGATGAGCTCTAAGAGCTCTGATGTGTTCCAGTAATATGCTTCAACCACTAATGGGCATTTAGCCCTGGGGATTGCAAGTAAGTTGCCCCACATGCAAATGTGGACATCTGACCCCACTTTAATTGTTGTGCTCTATCTGTTATGACTGCTGTAATTGCTAATGCAAAAATGCCTCTGAGAGACAGTGAACAATCTTTCCTAAAACATCTTTATGTCATTCATAATTGCACAGATCTCTTGTATCTGTCTTCTGTAATATCCTTTCCAAACAAAAGAACTTTTAAATTTCCTTTGTATGGAACAGCTTTTATAATTCAGGTCATCCTTTCATCAATATGCTTCACCCTGCTTTATCCTTCGCTGAGGTGATGTAATCTAAAATTATATGCAAAACTGGAGATGTGAGATCACCACAAATTTAGACAATGACACAATGCTTTCCATTTTGCTATGATTCTAAAAATTCCTGCTAACCTTTTGACAATGGCTGTGCATGGAATGTTTTCAGAAAGCTAATCACAGAATTATCCAGATGTCTTTTCTTAAGTGGCAATAGCTAATTTACAGCACATCATAGTGAATATTATGCATTATGGAGATGGAGAGCCTCTGTGGGCAACTGCGCCATCATCTGACTGTCCTCACAGTGAAAGTGTTTTCCTCACTTGCACTCTGAACTTTTCATATCCATTGATTTTCATTCTCCTGCCATGCACCCCTGTGAACAGCTGGCTTGTAATCTTGGTGGCCTCCTTATAGGTATGATAAGGCTGACTGGAGATCATGCCCAAAGCCTACTCTTCTCCGAACTGAACAAGCCAGTTCCATCAGCCTGTTCTTACAAGTTAGGTTCTCCAAGTCCCTAAGCATCCTGATGACCTTCTGCTAGGCAAAACTGCAGTATTTTAGATGTGGTGTGCTGAGTAGTAGGGGATGAAAGCTTCATCCACTGCTGGTTATATTTCATACTCCTGTTCATAGAGCCCAGGATGCTGTTGGCCTTCTTTGTTGCTGCCATTTCCAGCTCATGTGCCGCTTGCTCTCCATCAGGAGGCTCAGGTCCTTTCCAGTGAGCTGCTGCCCAGGCTGTGATTTCTGCAGCTCTCTTTGAATGGCAGCCCTGTGCTGAGTCTGTCAATCTGTCCATGTCTTTGCTGTCCTCTGCAGGCCTGATGAAAATGTACTCTGTTGCCTCCATGAGGTCACTGATCAAGAGAACTGTTAGCTGTCAAATTCATATTTACTATCATCAGTGAAGTAACTTAATATCACTAATAAACTTTATCAGCTGTATACGTATCACTTTCCCAAAACACATATGAATGTTCTGAACTACATAGACTGCTTTTGTAATCTGACAATAACCCAATTTAGCTTGCTACATGATCTTCTTGTAGTTGCCATCTTCTACTTTGATCTGGTTTTCTTTTTAGGTGCCTGGCAAAAGCATCTTTATCTGCTGAAGTCCCCTGCATTTCTCCAACCTGTCTTGTTCTCTCTGAATAGCAGCCCCACCACTGAATCTACCAGTGTGTTGTCACTTGCAGACCTGATGACAACATGGAGAAAAAGGCCAAAATTTCCAAGTACTCTATAATTTCTTAAGGATACAGGTGCTTTTACAAATAAGGTATCATCCCAAACTTCTTGCACAAATTCCAGCCTTCTCTCATACACAAATCGAGTGGCATCATATTCTTGTTATGCTAACATAAAGCTAAATTGCAAGATCTGCAAGTTAAAATAAGTTTGTACTTCCAACAAAGAAAAATCATGTATTGCCAGAGAGGTTTATGAGAGGATAGCATATCTCCTGTGTAAATGCCTGCAGGCATGTCCCATTGACTCCTGATCTCACATCCCGAGCTCTTACTCAGTCTCAAGCTCTCCAGCAAACTCAAGTTCCCAAAGCATCCTCTTCCTTTCCCAAACCAAGGCCTCTCGGTGCAACCTCTGACCTTCTCAGGTTAAGTTTCAGTTTTTCCTCTCCTCCTGCATGAAAAGCTCGAACCTTCCCACTCTCTTGCCTCAGTGTTTCAGCTCCATACACCTATTGTCTCAAAAGTCTCTTTTTTTCTTAAGAGAGAACCAATTCCCAAAATCTTCCTGCCCCAGAATGTACACCAGAACCTTCAGCTTTCCTATGTTAAAACTTCTACCATCACTTTTCAAGGTCTGTTCCATTGCAAAATCATCTTTCAAATCTCCCTTGCTATCCTACCCTAACCCTCCTCTCACTTTCTATCTACCCTAACCCTTCTCTCACTTTCTATCTGCTCTCTTTAAATATTTCTCTGCTCTTGCCCTTCTGATTTCTCCCACGGGCTCTCACTGGCTCCCACATCTTATATCCATGTGTGACTTAACTTATGTGACAGCCGAAACATCTCTCCATTTCTTTTCCATCCCCAAAATCCAAGTCCTACTTTTTGCTAGTACCTGTGCTTTAGAAAACCTGAATGTAAAATGTACTTAAGGTGGCCATTATTGACAAAATCCATAAAGCCACATTAATTGCAAGCATACACATTTTATAATATTTTGCATAACTAAAAATGTCATTTACTAAATGTGAAATATATTTACCAACTGTATGATAAATTTCAATAACTACTATATCTAGTCCCCCTCACAAATTCAAATAAACAGTAGAACAACTTATGATTTCTCTCTTGGGCTGTTTATTTTCCTGGAAATATAGGAATCAAGAAACAAGAGGACTGTGGGAAGGCTTGGAAAGCATAGTCTGTCATTCTTATCACAAACATAATCATCTATGATTATTCTATAGTTATCAATACTCACAAATACAAGCTAATTGGCTATCTTAACTGCTAGGATGCAAATTAAGCCAGGAGTAATTAA